CTGGAGGCAGCAGCTCTTGTCCGGTACGGGGGCCGGCTTGCCCTCCTCGTTCCCTTCTCTTGTGCGGCCCCGGCGGGGCTCGCCGGCTAAGCACACCCCAGCTGTCATTTACAGAGCGCCATGGCGGCATTGAAGGCGCAGAAGGAAAAGGCTGTTGGTGGGCGGGTGGGTGTTTTGCTTAAAAGCCTATGTTGAGTAGTAGCAGTCGTAGTAGTAGGCACACTCGTAGTCGTAGTCGTAGTCGTACTAGTAGTTGTAGTAGTTGTAGTAGTGGTAGTAGTAGTAGTAGTAGTAGTAGTAGTAGTAGTAGTAGTAGTAGTAGTAGTAAGAATTGTAGCAGTACTCGTAGCTGTAGTAGTAGTAATAGCAATAGTAGTAGTAGTAGTAGTAGTAGTAGTAGTAGTAGTAGTAGTAGTAGTAGTAGTAGTAGTAGTAGTAGTAGTAGTAGTAGTAGTAGTAGTAGTAGTAGTAGTAGTAGTAGTAGTAGTAGTAGTAGTAGTAGTAGTAGTAGTAGTAGTAGTAGTAGTAGTAGTAGTAGTAGTAGTAGTAGTAGTAGTAGTAGTAGTAGTAGTAGTAGTAGTAGTAGTAGTAGTAGTAGTAGTAGTAGTAGTAGTAGTAGTAGTAGTAGTAGTAGTAGTAGTAGTAGTAGTAGTAGTAGTAGTAGTAGTCGTAGTAGTAATAGTAGTAGTAGTAGTAGTAGTAGTAGTAGTAGTAGTAGTAGTAGTACTCGTAGCAGTAGTAGTAGTAGTAGTGTAGTAGTGGTAGTGGTAGTAGTCGTAGTAGTAGTAGTAGTAGTAGTAGTAGTAGTAGTCGTAATAGTAGTAGTAGTAGTAGTAGTAGTAGCAGTAGTAGTAGTAGTAGTAGTAGTGGTGGCGGTGGTGGTGGTAGCAGTCGTAGTCGCGGTAGTCGTAGTAGTCGTAGTAGTCGTGGTAGTCGTAGTCGTAGTCGTAGTCGTAGTAGTAGTAGTAGTAGTAGTAGTAGTAGTAGTAGTAGTAGTAGTAGTAGTAGTAGTAGTAGTAGTAGTTAGTAGTTAGTAGTTAGTAGTTAGTAGTTAGTAGTTCGTAGTAGTAGTAGTAATCATAGTAGGAGTAGGAGTAGTAGTTGTAGTAGTGGTAGTGGTAGTCGTAGTCGTATTAGTCGTAGTAGTAGTTGTAGTAGTAGTAGTAGTAGTAGTAGTGTAGTAGTAGTAAGTATAGTAGTAGTAGTAGTAGTAGTAGTAGTAGTAGTAGTAGTAGTAGTAGTAGTAGTAGTAGTAGTAGTAGTAGTAGTAGTAGTAGTAGTAGTAGTAGTTTAGTAGTAGTAGTAGTAGTAGTAGTAGTAGTAGTAGTAGTAGTAGTAGTAGTAGTAGTAGTAGTAGTAGTTAGTAGTAGTAGTAGTAGTTAGTAGTAGTTAGTAGTAGTAGTAGTAAGTAGTAGTAGTAGTAGTAGTAGTAGTAGTAGTAGTAGTAGTAGTAGTAGTAGTAGTAGTAGTAGTAGTAGTAGTAGTAGTAGTAGTAGTAGTAGTAGTAGTAGTAGTTAGTAAGTAGTAGTAGTAGTAGTAGTAGTAGTAGTAGTAGTAGTAGTAGTAGTAGTAGTAGTAGTAGTAGTAGTAGTAGTAGTAGTAGTAGTAGTAGTAGTAGTAGTAGTAGTAGTAGTAGTAGTAGTAGTAGTAGTAGTAGTAGTAGTAGTAGTAGTAGTAGTAGTAGTAGTAGTAGTAGTAGTAGTAGTAGTAGTAGTAGTAGTAGTAGTAGTAGTAGTAGTAGTAGTAGTAGTAGTAGTAGTAGTAGTAGTAGTAGTAGTAGTAGTAGTAGTAGTAGTAGTAGTAGTAGTAGTAGTAGTAGTAGTAGTAGTAGTAGTAGTTAGTAGTAGTAGTAGTAGTAGTAGTAGTAGCAGTAGTAGTAGTAGTAGTAGTAGTAGTAGTAGTAGTAGTAGTAGTAGTAGTAGTAGTAGGTAGTATGTAGTAGGCAGTCGGTAGTAGGTCGGCGGGAGTAGAGAGTGGGTAGTAGGTAGTCAGTAGTAGATAGTGGGTAGTAGGTAGTAGGTAGTAGATCGTAGTAGTAGTGGTGGTGGTGGTGGTGGTGGTGGTGGTGGTGGTGGTGGTGGTAGTAGTAGTAGTAGTAGTAGTAGTAGTAGTAATGGAAGAAACAAATGGAAGAAGAGGAGGCGGAGGAGGAGGATGAGGGAGAGGAGGAGGAGGGGGCAGGAGGAGGAGGAGGAGGAGGGGGAGGAAGAGAATGAGGAGGAGGAGGAGGAGGAGGAGGAGGAGGAGGAGGGCGGACGAGGAGGAGGAAGAGGAAGAGGATGACATGGGAGAAGAGGAGATGGAGCAGGAGCAGCAGGCCTCCTCTGCGCCCCAGGCTGTTCTGCGGCAGGGCCTAGGGTCAATCGCCGCCCTGCTGGGTCGCCCCGCCGCGGACGCCCAGTTCCGCCCTGCCAGCGTCTGGAGGTGCCTCTTTTTGTCCAGGGGGGGGTCTTGCGGGCTGTGCGTCTTGGGTTTTGAATGCTGTCGTTTTTGTTTTTTTGTTTTCCTGTTTCTGGGATTCCTGGAGATTTCCCTGCCTCAGGATGCGCTCCAGCAGCTGCGCGTCGCCGAGAGCGTTCCAGGGCTGCTAGAGTCGTCTAGAGCGGCTGCCGGAAATTTGGGTTATGATCCGAAACCAAGACACCAAATGGAATTAGCGACACGTGCGAATGACCCTGCGCTGGAGCGACCTTTTGGTGCGCACTGTGAGGGGCTCGGTGGTGCTAGGCTCAAGCACACAGGCTGCTACTGTCGCATCGCATGCAACGATTGGCAAGCCGCGCACGTCACTCTTGCCTAGGGTGACTCCTGCGTGTAGCTGGGCTTACTAGGCCAGCCGCAGCCGTAGCAGCGGGACGCCGTGGTCCTTCCTTGCTGTTCCTCGGGTGCCGAAGAAGAAAACACGGCACGGAAGGAAACTTTCGGAGGTCCGCGCAGATTTCTTGGGTCGGCGCTGGAGCCGAATTGGTTCGCGTCGCCTCTGGCGCCGCCCGCTCGCGCACCAGGGGAGGAAGGCTCCAGCGTTGGCCCAAGGAATTTGCGCGGACCTCTGGACGTTTATGCTTATGCAGTTTGTTTTTTTCCATGGTGCCCGTCGGCTTCGACACCCTTCCTGTTTTGGTGTGGCAATCTCATGTTGCAACTCCTGTCAGCGCCGAGACTAGTTGCTCCGGCGGGGCTCTTCAACCACCTGAGACCGCAAGTTGCAGCTTTGCGCGAGCGATCTACAACCGAGATGCGTCGGTACTGAGATCTGGCTCCACGTGTCCTTGTGGCACCGTGGAGTTGAAACCGATGGTAGGGATGGGTCACCTTCTCAAGGGGACCCTTGCATCCTTACCTCCTGTTGTGGCACGCCGTGGTCGATAAAGCTTCAACACGGGCGTCCAAGGCGCTCGCATCGTTATCGCGCATCCTTGCTCTCAGTTTTGACTGAACACCCTGCCCGCCCAACGCCAGGTCAAAAGAAGAGCTTCAGGACTCTGTCGGTCTAGGCACCCCTCTCCAGGAGATTGTCGGCGCGGTGATCTCCCACCGGGGAGGTCGAGAGCACGGCCCCCTTCCCGCCGTTGTGCCCAGTCGGCCTGTCGCCCGGTCGTCGTCGTCGTCGTCGTCGTCGTCGCTGAGGTAGTGGTGGTGGTCATAATTGTCGTGGTCGTCGTTGCGTGGAAGTGTCTTGTTGTCTGTTTGCTTGCTTGTTTGTTCGTTTGTTTGTTTGTTTGTTTGTTTGTTTGCTTGTGTGCTTGTTGATGCTGCTGCTTGTTGAAATTCTTGTTTGTGTTCTGTTTGCTGGCTGCTTTTTCAATTATACCTATGCGTGCATGCTTGTGTGTGCAAGTAACTCGTCTGTCGAGATTTTCTTCGGTTTCTGGGGAACTCCCCCCCCACCAGTAGTTTTATTTCCTTCTGCCCAGGGAGCGCCAAGGCTGTCTTTATTTCGCACGGAGGTTTTATTTCTTATCCCAAGAAATTTCTTACGTCCTCGAATTTTTTGTTGTTGTTTCCCTTCCGTCATCGTCGAAGAAAAAGAAGCAGCGGCAGAAGCATAAACTTTTGGAGCTCCGCGCGGGCTTCTTGGATCGGCGCAGGGCCCCTCTCCCTTGCGCGCGGATCGCGCCCGAGGCGGCGCCTGAAGCGCCGCCAGGGGGGCCAGCTCCGATCCAGGAGAGTTGCGCGGAGCTCCGCAAGTTTGTGTGTTGCCATGCTGTTTTTGGCTACTCCCCGATGCAGGGTGCATCTCCTGGGAGGGCAGATTCAGCATCGGCGCTGAGAGTTCCGGTTTCGAACCTGCCGGATCTTGGATACTCCCGTTCGTTCCGGCCAAATCCCGGGCTGAATCTGGGCTAATCGGATTCAATGGCCTCCAACCTTTAAGCACTCGTTCTCGTGAAGACCTCCCAGGAGTCACCTCCCATCTGTGCAGCGGCCGCCTGGCCCCCTCTCGGACGTTCCTTCGTCCTGCTGTCCACCAGGCATTGTGTCGTTCGCCCCCTGGCCCGGAGGGGCCCGGAGGAGGGGGGCCGCGCCGCGCGGCGCCCGCCCAGGAGCGCCCCCCGCCGAGCCCGCCGCGCCGAGCCCGCCGCCGAGCCCGCGCCCCTCGCGGCCTGCTGGCGCGCGGCGGGCGCCGGCTCTCTCCGTGCGCGCGGCGCCGTGGGAGGCGCGGGGCGCTTCGCCTCATCGTCCACTTCTCCTGCTGTTCCTCCGCCTTTGCTCCTGCCTCGTCCCCCTGCTCCTCCCTCCTCCTGCCGCAGCCTTCGCCTCATCCCTGCTCCTCCCTCCCTCCCTCCCTCAGTCCCTCCCTCCCTCCCTCCCACCCACCTTCTTATCCCTCGTCCCTCCTTCTGCCTCCTCCCTCCTGCTGCCCCGCCCTTCTCCATCCTCCTCCGTCCTGCCTCGTTCCTCCTCTTCGTCTTCGTCCTCCCGCTCCTGCCTCATAACTTCAACTCCTTCTGCTCCTCTTCCTCTGCCTCTTCCTCCCCTGGCTTGCCCTGCGAGGCTAGATGATCCACTATGCGTCGGGGTCGGGAGCGCCATGGAATCACTTCCTGAACCTGTTCCAGATGAAGGCCGCCGCTGTATCGCTCCGTGGCAGGGGAGGAGGACGATGAAAATGAGGAGCAGCGGCACCACGAGGATGATGATGATGATGATGATGATGATGATGATGATGATGATGATGATGATGATGCTGATGCTGATGCTGATGCTGATGCTGATGCTGATGCTGATGCTGATGCTGATGCTGCTGCTGCTGCTGCTGATGATGATGATGATGATAACGACGATGATGATGACGACGATGATGATGATTCTGATGATGCTGCTGATGATACTGTTGATAATCATGACGATGACGATGACGATGATGACGATGATGATGATGATGATACTGATGATGATGATAATGATGATCCTGATGATTATGAGGATGATGACGATGATGATGCTGATACTGATGCTGCTGATGATGATGCCGCTGCTGCTTTTGATGATGAGGATGGCGATGATGATGACGATTCTGATGATGCTGATGAAGATGGTGGTGGTGTTGATGATGATGGTGATGATGATGCTTATGACGACGGTGATGATGCTGGTGATGATGATGATGCTGATGATGATGATGATGATGATGATGCTGATGCTACTGCTGATGGTGATGATGATGATCATGATGATGCTGCTGATGATGATGATGACGATGATGATGCTGATACTGATGATGATGCTGCTGATGATGAGGATGATGACGACGACGACGACGACGACGATGATGATGATGATGATGATGATGATGATGATGATGATGATGATGATGATGATGATGCTGATGCTGATGCTGATGCTGATGCTGCTGATGATGATGATGATGATGATGATGATGATTATGCTTATTACGATGACGATGATGCCGCTGCTGCTGCTTCTGATGATAAGGATGACGAGGAGGAGGAGGAGGAGGAGGAGGAGGAGGAGGAGGAGGAGGATAAGGTTGAGGATGAGGATGAACAGCAAGAGAAGCTGGATATAGAGGAGCAAGGAGGATGAGGAAGACATCAGGAGAATGAGGAGGAGGAGGAAGAGGAGGAGGAGGAGGAGGAGAGGGGAGTGGGGAGGGCGTCGAAGGAGGAGGCAGAGCAGGTGGAGTGGGCTGGATTGTTAATGTTGGTTGTGGACTTTTTCCTTGCAGGGTGAGGCGGGAGGAGGAGAATGAGGAGAAGGAGGAGGAGGAGGAGGAGGAGGGATGGGGAGGAGAACGGGAAGGCTGGAAGGGGAGGCTGGAAGGGGAGTGGGAGGGAGAGGAGGATCAGGCGGAGCAGGGGCGGCCAACTTCGAAGACTCGAGGGGGTTGACCTCCCGTCACGCCTGGGGGGCCGTGAAACCAGCAGGGCTTGCTCCTCTGTACTGGTGCCAGCTGGCTCCGAGGATTCGTGGCTCGATCCAGCTGGAACGCCCAAGGCGTGCATGATTATGGGACCGAGAGCTGATACCGTTTTTGTTAAGTCAAAACGTGTTGTTACATTACCATTGTTCTCATCGTTGTGTATCGCCGTGTTCTGTGTTTCTGAGCGTGGTGTCTCCTGGTTCCCGCTAGGATGCTTCCCACTCTGCACGACTCCTCGCGCGAGCATGAGGCCGCCAGCGCCGCCCACGAAGACGCACACCGCCTGAGAGGGCCTCCTCCTCCTCCTTTGACGTTGGGCAGACTTTGATTCCTAGATTGTAGCGTCTCGGGCCTCCTCCTCCTCCTCCTCTTCCTCCTCTCTCTCTCTCTCTTCCTCTCTCTCTCTCTCTTCCTCCCTCCGCGGCCGCTTCTCTTCCCTCTCCGCCTGTGTAGGTGCAGCCCGCGGCTGCGCAGCCTGCCGCAGCTTTGACCGCGACGAGCCTCCCGTCGCTGCGTACCAGAAGTTTTGCAACGTGGGACCTCGCGATGGCGCCCTCGCCCAGCCGCTCTCGCACCGGCCTCGCCGCCCTGGCCTCGCCGCCCTGGCCTCGCGAGGCCTCGCGAGGCCTCGCCCGGCCGCCTGGCCGCCTGGCCTCTCGGAGCGCTCTGCAGGCCGCCCCTCGCCCGGCCGCTCCGCAGAGAGGCGCTCCGCCGCCCGCCCTTGCGCGGCCGCGTCCTCGCGGCCACCGATGGGGCGCTGGCCTCTCCTCGGAGGTCGAGCTGGGCCGTGAGCGCTGGGCGGCGCCTCGCCGCCCTCCATGCCCACTCGGGCCCCTGCGGCCCCGCCGTCGTCCTGGGCCTCCCAGATGGGGGAAGCAGATGGGGTCGGCGGATCGCGACGCAGCGCCGATGAAGCGGCGATGCAGCTGGATGTAGAGCCCGATCTTCTCCACACCGACGTCGCTGATGCATCCCCGACGTCGACGGTGCATCGCCGATGCATCGTCGATCCATCGGTGATGTATCGGCGATGCGGCGTGATCCTCCGACCCCATCTACTCGGACCCCATCGAGGAGGCCTCTAGTCATGATCTCCGCACAAGGCAGCGGGATCGGCTGCAAGATGGCCGCTGGACCATGGATTCTGTCAAGCCCATCGCTCCCGCCAGCAGGTGGGCTGCCCTTGGCCACAATCCCCCTGTCACCAACAGCGAGCGCGGTGACTTCTCGGACTTCTCCCGCAGGCTGGGTGACTATAACCTTGTCAGCGTCATGATGGAGAAAGCAGCTGCCTGGCGCCATTATAGCAGGGTGTGGGGTGGGATCGGGTGCCACGCCCTCCTGCTGGAAGAAGCCAGCCAGGCGCCCGAGGCTTTCTCCACGATTCAGTTCACTACTGCCACCATGGACAACGCCCCCACCGTTCTCATCGGGGACCACGCGCAATTCCCGCCCAGCTCCCGCTCTGAGGCCGCCGTCGCCCTCGGGATAGAGATCTCCCTCCAGGAGAAGTTCGCCAAGTTGGTGCAGTTCGATCCCGACCTCGTCGTCGTTCTCGCGACGTCCTACCTCATGCACCCCTGCATCCTCCAGTTCCCGTCCTTGGCCTACTACGGGGGCGCGTTGCGGCGCGGGCTGTCGGTCGACGAGCTACGCGAGACGCATTGGCCGCTCCCCTCCTTTCAGTGGCCCATCCGCCACGAGGTCTTCGACGACGACCGCCCTAGCGAGGATCGTCTGCGTACGTTTCGGCAGTTGGGCGCGGTCCCACCGCCCAGCCCGTGCGCACGCGTTGCTTCGACTGCCTCCTCGCCTCTCCCCTGGGCGACGCCGACCTTGTCCTCGTTGTCCATGTACCTTCCGTCGAACACACCCGTGGGACCAGCTACTGCAACCCCGCCGACGGGAGGGCCATTCCTTGATCTTTTGGACAATGGCCTACCTGGGCTCGAGCATGGCACCTCCGTCACCGTCCTCACACCACATCGGGTGGACCTGCTTCGGGGCGTTTGGCCCTGGCGCGAGCCTGGTGGTGATCGAGCCGCGCCTCTGGCCTGCCGCTGTTCGCAATCCGCCCCCCCTCCGCCCGAACCGTTCCCCAGGCCAAAAAAAAAGTGGGGCAACATTCAATTCAGCACAATCGACGAATTGCAAGGTGACGAGGCCGACTTGGTCATCATAACTTGCGTGCGCTCCAACGGCAACTTTAACATCGTGCATCTCGACCGCCTCAACGTTGCGCTCATTCGCGGCAAGCGGGGTTGCATCGTGATCATGAGTGCTCCAATGCCGCAGGCCAACAGTGGTGCGCAACTCGGCGCCTGCTTTGGGTACGTGGACAGCGCCGGGCTCGTGTGCCAGCTCGCCAACTCTCCAAGCCCTGTCGAGCTCATCTGCATCTCCCTCCGCAACGCACTCGGTGCTGCCCCTTCCTTCGCAAGGGTGCCCAAGGGCGGCCAGGCCAACTGCGCATTTGCCTCGCAAAGGTTCTCATCGTCAACCTGCGCCGCCCTCCGCCACCGGAGTTCTCCTTCGTGGAGGCTCGCGAAGAGCTGTGTCACTGGCTGCAGAAGTTGGTCGAGGGCCTTGGGAGCAGTGCCAGCGGGCCATGCGTCTGCCCGGCGAGACGCTGACGACGAATTCGGCACCCAACGCGATCAGCCACATTGTTGCGGTCAGCGAGTGTGAAGATAGTGGGCAGTGGCAGCGGACCGAGCTGCCGCCAATCGGCGCCCAGCCTCACGCACAGCCATAGCCCCCTGGCCTCCCCGACGCTGCTCCATGCTGCGCCCTCCCCCAGGCCGGGTGTCCCGCCCGCTGGAGCGCGCGACGCCGCCCGTCCTGCCTTCGCTGGGGGCCCTCCAGCATTGGCGGGTCGGGTCACGACGTCTGCAGTCAAGGGGCCCCGTCCACCCCCCTGCCCCGCGCCAGGCCAAGGGCGTCGCCCGCGTCAGTCCCCTCACCTGCGTCTGTCGCATCATCCGCCTCTGACGCCTCGCTCTACGCTGCTCCCTCCTCTGGGCCAGGTATTCCGCCTGCAGGAGCGGGCGACGCCACCCACCTGGCCTTCGTGGTGGGTTCCTCCGGCGCGGACGGATCCTGTCACGACGTCGTCTGCAGTCATGGGGCCCAGCCCACCACCCTGCCCCGCGTTCAGCTCCGTGCGTCACCCGCGTCGGTCGCCTCGCCCGCGTCTGTCGCCTCGCCCGCCTCTGACGCGTCACTTCATGCTGCCCCCTCCTCCGGGCTGGCCACCCCGCCCGCAGGTGCGGGCGATGCCACTCACCTGGCTTCGCCGAGGGTTCTCCCAGCGTGTCCAGCGCCCTGCCTGACGCTCCACCCGACGCCTTGCATGACGCCCAGGGTCGGCAGTGGGCCCCGCGACGACACTCCTCCGGGCGCCCAGCCCAACGACCAGCACGATACCACGACCGACGCCCAGGCCCGTACCCATCCCCGAGCTTCTCCAGTTTTGCCCGACTCGCCTCCGAATGGCCTGCCCGACGTCGCGGCCGACTGCCCGCCCGACGCCGTGTCTGGGGCCTTGTCCGTCGACGACGTCTCCGACGCCACTTCCGACGCCACTCCCGACCAGCCCTCCCGAGAACGAAATCCCCCCTTCGACTTCCACCTGAATTCACAACCGGACGCTTTAGCCTATTCCGTTCGCAACCCAGTCACCGGCGCCCTGCTCGTTGCCGCCGCCTGCTGGCTGGGACAGCGGTGCCAACGGCCGAATGCCGTGCTGGGGCGTGGAGGCGTGGTGGATGTACTACATCGCCGACGTCTCGCCTGCCGCCGTGTCCGACGACTCCGCCTCCGACGCCCTACCCGACGGCCTTCCTGGTGCTCTCTGTCTGGCTGCTCTTCGGCTGTCTCCACGACGCCCTGCGCGGCGCCCGCCCCGACGCCCCGCCCGGCGGTCTACCTCGCCTGCGGTGGCATGAGCGTCGGGGCGACGACGCCGAGTCCGCCTCGTCCGTGATCCCTTTGTTCCCGCCCGCAGCGCCAGCTTTTATCCCGCGCGTGTCCGCGCTGACGGGTGGTCCTCCAAACCTTTCCTTTGCTGCCGCCCAGGCCCCTGGCGCCTCTTCCTGCGTCTGTCGCCCGCCTGTGGTGACGGCCACTCCCGCGCGTCGCATCCCTGTCTTCCAGCGCTCCTCTCGGGGTCACTCCCGGTTTGGACTGGGCCCCCCCTGCCATCGTTGCTTGGCCAACTCCCGTCTCTCGACCCGCCCCCCTGGCGGCCGTCGCCACTGCCGCCGGTGGCGGCGGTGGGCCTGGCCGACGTTGGGTGTCCTCAGTCGCCAGGGGCCGACGGCGGCACCTATGGCGCGGGCCCTACCTGGGTCGGCGACACTCTCTGGCGCCCGTGGGTCGACCTGGGCGTCAGCGGCGATGCGCCCCTGTGAGCCGCCGCTGAGGTCATGGAGGAGCCCTCGGGTGGCGATGAGCAGGACCACCCGCCCAACCCTGTCTTAGCAGGCCCCCCAGGGGCCCCCTGGCCAGCGCGACGATGACTCCAGCGGCAGCGATCACCAGGCCCGGCTGGACTGGCTTCGCCTCCCTGCTGGGTCACACGTTCCAGGGTTCCTCGGCGCCGCCCCAGCCGCCATCCCCGCCGCCGCGCTCGAGCTACAAACGCTTGGCGACCTGTCCCTGCAGCTCCTAGTGCAGGGGCAGCTCCGCGTCCGTGGTGACAGGCGCGCGCAAAAACGGAAGTGCACGCTGTTCAGGGATGCCACGCTTTCGTGCTGCAGCGCTTCCTGGTTAGCGGTGCGGGGCAGCGACGCTCGCGGCCCGCTGGCCGGTAGTGTTCCGCTCGCGCCGCTGCTCCTCCTCGTGGGGGCGTTGGGTTGGCGTGCCCGCACGGTCTGGGTTTTCCGGTCGCGGTGGGCGCGCCAGGCCCTTCCCGCCCACAGGCCGCGGGCATCCCCAGCTGCGTGGGGGCCGCGCTGTGGGTTCTCCCAGCGTGCCTCGCCTGCACTGGGGCCCTGCGCCTCTCCTCTCTCTGCCTGTTTGGCCAGCCTCCGCTCGCCTTCTCTGGGCCCGGCATCCTTGCCGCGCGCCTGTTGTGGGCCCGCCTCGGGGCCCAGTCCCCCGCCTGGCGACTGGCTCACGCGGCCTCCCTTGTCGGTTGGTCTGCTGCTCTGTCATGCTTTTCTCCTTCGCGTAATTACTGCCCGTTTGGCGCTTTCACCCCTTTACCGCTGCTGTCCTTGGCTCTCGTCGCTTGCCGTACTGCGCCTCCTTTCGTCTTTCTCGGGTGTCCTCGTCGCCCTGTCCTCCTCTGCACCTGGCTTTCGCCGCACTATCCCCCGTCCGCTTGTCAGTCGCACCACCTGTCATCCACGGGCCTGTTTCCCACTTCACCCTCTCTGCGCCAGATATGTATGGCGCGGTTGTTCGACATGGACTTCTGATCTGCTGAGGGGCCCGCCGCGCGGGTCCCATTCGATGATTTTCTCTAGCCTCGTCGCCGCGCGCGAGGCCGCGATCGCCAAGCACTGTGCGTGCGCGTGTTGTGTGTGTGTGTGTGTGTTTGTGTATGTGTCCGCTCGACTTGGTCCGCTTCGTCGCTGCGCGCGAGGCCGCGATCGCCAAAAACTGTGCGCGTGTGTGTGTGTGTGTGCGCGTGTGTGTACCCTATCTCTCCTTGTCCTTCCCTCGCCTACCGGGCCAGGCTTTGCCCTTCGACCCGCTGCGCCCTCGCTGCCCACGCCCCAGCTTGGCGTGTGGCACGGTTGACCCAAGAGGTGTCCCTGCACGCTCTGAGCGCCCCTGCGCGCGCGCCCGCCCGTTCGATCTTTTCCTCCGCTTCGACGCTGCGCGCGAGGCCGCGACCGACAGAACACGTGTGTGTGTACCTTCTCTCTCCTCCTTCTTACCCCACCTATCGTTTATCGCCATCTCGGCTCAGGTATTGATGCGCTGGCCTGAGGGCTCTCGCCCGTTGGGTAAAAAGGCTTCGCGCCGTCATCAACATCCTACGGAACCCAGGGCGGGCTCGGCTCTCTGACCCTTCTCTTCTTCCGCATGGGACCTTTGCGGAAGAGTGTTGGCGGCGCCCGCAAGGCGCGAGAGGGGGCGGCCTTTTAAAAAGGTGGGTCGTTTCGACACGGCCAGGGGTGAGAGGCTGGTCTTGGAGAGGTGGTCGAGATCGGGCACGCGGCATTCAACCAAATCGACATCGGAGGAGGGGGGTATGCGCACGCCGTCAGCGACGGCTGAGGCACCAGGTTTCGCGACACTCCTCCTCCTCCACGTCCTTCTCATCCCTGCCCCATTTCTTTCCCAGTAACTCCTCCTTATCGCACCCCGAGGCGTGTCAGCTTCACACTGCTTCACATCAGTGGTGATCTTGGAATTTGGTATTCGCGACAACTCCACGGATGAATGAGGGCGTTTTGCACCGAGCATATTTGCTTTAAATGTTTGCAGCAGTTTTGCGGATGGGGGGCGGCTCATTCTCGAACTGTGGCTTTTGCCTTAGCGCCGCGCGTATTCGTCTTGATTCGTTCGCAACAGTTGCACGGATGGGGGCCGGTCGTTTTCAATATGTGACTCTTGCTTGAGTGCCGCGCGCATTGGTTCTAAAACCTTGCAGCTGCTTTGCGGATGGAGCACGGCCCCTTTTCAAAATGAAGCTCTCGCCTTCGAGCCGCGCGCACTCGTTTGAAAAGCTTGCAACAATTTCCAGGGATGGAGGAGAGGCCATTTTCAAAACGTGGCTCTCACGGTAGCGCCGCGCCCATTCGTTTTCAAACTTGGGAGGGGGGCCGTTGTAACATTGTGGCCCTCGCACTAGCTCCGCAACCATTCGTTTTCGATGTTTGCAACGATTTCAGGGATTGGGGGGGGGGGTCGTTTTTCCAAATAGTGCTTTAGCCGTAGCGCCGCACTCGTTCGTTTTCAAAAGTCTGCGCCAGCTTCGCGGATGGGGGGCGGGCCCTTTTCAAAGCGGGTCTCTCGCCTCAGCGCCACAATCATGCGTCGCACACTCTTGGAACAGTTGCAAGGATGGAGCACTGGTCGTCATAACATGTGGGCTTGCCTCCTCAGCGCCGCGCGCATTCGTTTTTTTGCATGCAGCGTGTCGCAGGATTGACGACGCCCTTTTTTCAAGATATATGTTTCGCTTGAAATCCAGCCCCGTTGAAGGACCCGAAGCTCCAACGCGTGTAGCGCCGTACGGATCCATGCCGGCCATTTTTCAAAATGGAGCTGTTGCTCCCGGGGTCACGAGCCTCCCTTCAGGACTGTCCCGGTGTGCGTTCTGGCGTGAGCTTCGAGGGGAGTCCAGCCCGTGGCGACGAGAGGCCTCCCCGAGGCAGAGAGAGGTCCAACAGTGTCCGGGAGCCTCGAACCTCGGAGGAGGGAGGAGGAGGAGGACGCCCCGCTCAGGCGTGGGGGAGGAGGAGACAAGGCTGGCGGAGCCGCCGGCCCGAGCCGCGCCCTCCCCCGCACCAGGGGAGCGGCTTCCCACTGGCCATCGCCGCCGCCACCCTCCCCGCGGCGCGCACTGGGCGGGCGAAGGCACGGGGCAGGATCGTATGTGTCATCGTCGTCATCATCGTCGTCAGCATCAGCTTCAGCTTCAGCTTCAGCATCAGCTTCAGCATCAGCATCAGCATCAGCATCAGCATCAGCATCAGCATCTTCATCATCATCATCACCATCATCATCATCATCATCATCATCATCATCATCATCATCATCATCATCGCTTCCATTAGCAGCATTACCAAAACCGTTTTATCACCAGCTAAATCATCAGCATTTTCATCATCATCATCAGCAACATCATCAGCATCATCATCATAATCATCACCATAGTCATCATCATGATCATCATTGTAATAATCATCCTAATTATAATCCATCATTGCTATCACCATCATCACTATCATCATCATTATCCTCCTCCTCCTAACCACCGTCATCATCATCGTCATCGTCATCGTCATCGTAGTTGCCATCGTCATCATCATCGTCACCATGATGATGATGATGATGATGATGATGACGATGATGATGATGATGATGATGATGATGATGATGATGATGATGATGATGATGATGATGAGAATGAGGATGAGGATGAGGATGATGATGATGATGATCATCATCATCATCATCATCATTGCCATCGTCGTCAATGCCATCGTTATCGTCATCGTGGTCGGTTCCAAGATTCGCTAAGACGACTGGCAGAGCCTGGCCGCGGACTCCGAGATTTATTTGCGGGATCCACGAAATCCAACTTCAGATCCTGGCTAACGCGCTTTGATTGCAGGCGGGCTTTGGTCTCCACTGCGCGCACGAGGCGGGCGACGGCACTCGCCATGAAGGAAAGGGGTGCTGGCACGTCAACTACGGTATGTGGACTACGCTAGACACAAGGAAGGCACACCGCGCCTCAATGTACAAACATTGCGTATAGTGTGCTCGTGACGGTGATGACCAAGCCGTGTCGCATACTGAGCTGCTGTCGTATTATGGGAAAGTGGGTCTTGAGAGAAACGTTCCGTGCTTTTTCTCGCAGTTTGGGATCTCTCGGGGCCCTCCAAGGGTCCCGAGCTGACCCGGGGGCAGGAAGCCAATAGCGAAACAGAGGCGCGCACGCGCACGTGAGCTCACACGGGCGTCGAGAGAGCGCATACGCGAGAGTTCATGGCATCGAGGCGGCCTCGCGAACTGGGGTGCATCTTCATGTACGTGGCCAGGCGCGTGCGTAGTCCTTTTTGGCTCCATAGTGAGGACGTCGTTGTCGTCGTCGTCGTCGTCGTGGTAATCGTCGTCTTCGTCGGGGTCATTGTCTCGGGGGTTTGTGGGGGTCTTTGGAGGCTCTCGTCGCCACGGCCGGCGCAGTTCGGAAAGTGATCCAGGATGGATCTCGGGGATTTGCTGGGTGGTCGGGGGGCAGAATTGGATACGATTTTGGTGGGCAGAGGCGCTGGGTGGGGACGTGCCTTCTGTCAGAGGTTTTTCGGAGGGATTCGTCGGGAGTATGCTGGGAAGGGGAGAAGCAGCGGCAGGTGTAGGCGATAAAGTGGGAGGTTGATGAAGAGGAGGAGCAGGAGGATGACGATGAGGAGGAGGAGGTGGAGGAGGAGGGAGTGGCAGGAAGCAGGACCACCGCGATGAATACAGCATACCCTGCAGAACATTCCCACTGACCATGGTCCTGGAGATGTGTTGGGCTACAGAAATTCACGGAGAAATCACGTGGCAAGTTTGTTTTGCTGTGTGTGACTGCACGCCGCTGGTGGAAGTTACTACGGGGATGATCTCTCTCACCGATATCATTTTGCAGCCCGCGTTTAGAATATTGACGAGGAGTTTGGCGAACCTGATCTGGGGAGGATCGAGACCACCGCAGAGGCATGGTGATCCAGTACTGAAGCGACACCGTGGAAACAACAAGATATCGGACCACCTTGTCCATGTGGCGATGGATACCCGACAGCTTGGGAATGAAGTTTACCTCCTGCCAGCAAGGACTAAGGACGCCACCCTTTGACCGCCAATTTCGTCATGCATTGCGATGGGGGGTGCATGCGCGTCCAGATGCTCGTCTGCAGCGTGGGTGCTGGAAGCGCGTATCAAGACATCTCGCGGTGACGAAGTAATGTTGTTAGCGAGAAAAAGGCATTTGCATTGGAATTCCGATCTCTTCGCTTGCGGCGAAATTATCGCATTGGATGAGTGTACATCATGTTTCGAGGCATGCTGCACGCCGTTGACGGCGTAACACACGCATTGAGGCGGCTACCCTAGTTTGGATCCCAGCTGTGACGAAAGAAAGAAAGGATGAAGAGAACGAGTAGGAGGAAGAGGAAGAGAAACATTAAGATGAAGAGGACAAATAAGAAGAGGAGGAGGAGGGGAGGTTGAGGAGGAGGGTGAGGAGAACTAGTGAGAATGAGGAAGAGGTTGAGAGGGGGACGGGGATCTGGGCCTCCTCTTGGGGCCGTCTTTGGCCCTCTTGGGCCGTCTTCGGCGCCTCTTGGGCCGTCTTGGTGCCCTCTGGGGCCGTCTTGGGGCCCTCTTGGAGGCCTCTGGGGCCGTCTTGGGCGATCTTGGGGACCGCATGGGCCGTCTTGGAGCGTCGACACGCCGAAAAGGCGAGAACGCCAACACCGTTCAAACACCGAAGGATCATTATTTTTTACTGCCTCTTCTGGCTCTCTGGAAATGCCCCTTGGAGGCCTCTTTGGGCGTCTTGGAGGCCTCTTGGGCCGTCTTAGGGCCATCTTGCGAGTCTTGGACCGATCGTTCGTCGACTCGGGGCCCTCTTGGGCTGTCTTGGGAGGTCCTTGTGGCCTTCTGGGCCCATCTTAGGGCCCTCTTGGGCCCGAAAAAAGTCCCGCGAGAAGACGCGACGAGCCCCCGACGAGACGCGGTAAGCCCCGAGAGATTTGAGAGTCCGGGGTCCAGGCCCCTCAAAGGCTCCCCAGGAGTGAGGACTGAGGCTTCGAGGATCGGGCCCAGGACCCGAGGACGCCCATTCCGTGCCCAGGCTCTGTGGCGGACGCGTGCGCCGCCCTCCCAGGGGCGACGCGCGCGCTCAGGAATCTGATCGTATATGCTCGTGGTTGGCGCTGTCTGGCCTTTGCGCCCGGGTAACAAGGTGCTGTGAGATGTTTGTGCTGTGTGCCCGGGTCGGACGTGCGCCCCCAAGGAGGGGTGCATAGCACTGGCATGTGGTTCTGCGTCCCACTGCCCTCGTCGTAAGAGAAGCCTACACCTGGATCCGGAGGAGGCCTCCGAGCTCGTGCCTCCGCGCGAGCGCCCGGGCATCGGGAGGACGGAGGGCAGCCGCGAGGAGAGTCGCAGCGCGCGCAACACGGCCAGGGCACGACCCGTTTCGATCCGACCGATCGGCTTCGGTACGGGCTTCGGCCGCCCCGATCCGCTGTAGGGCCGATGTTCCGACGATCCTGCACAGCTCGATGTTTGCATGGCGTCCTTGTGCGTCCCGGCGCAGCCGACTCGGTCCGATCCGGGCTCCGAGCCGAGGCGGCCCGATGCGACGCACGCTCCGATCCGATCCGATTTCTCGACTCGATGCTGGCCGCTCCTGCCAGGGCCAGGGGCGTGGGGTGCGGTGGACGTCCGCTGGCAGCAGCGGGGGCGCGAGGCGTTGACGTTCTACCTTCGCTGGAACGACATCTACGGCGCCCCCCGCCGCTTGTCTTCGCCCTTTCGAGGACCCTTGCGTCTGGCGACTCGCTCTGTGGTTCCCAGCCATCCTGTGGTGTTGGGTCCTCGTTTTGACGAGAGCGCCCCGCGTCCTCACTCCTTCCGCTGCCCCCTCCCTCCTCCCCTCACGGCATCGTCGTCATCATCAGTATCACCACCATCGTCATCATCGACGTCCTCATCATCTCCATTATGTGTTGGCCTCGGGACATTTATTTCGGCACATCCCTCGCACGCTTCGCGGCCCCATATGGAGCTCCATTGAAGGCCTCAGCGGGAGCGTCCGCACGGCGGCCTCGGGCCATGTCGGCACACCCCTCACACGCTTCGCGGCCACATAGGGAGCTCCCTTGAAGGCCCCAGTGGCAGGGTCCGCGTGGCGGCCTGGGCCCATTTCGGCGCACCCGTCACGCGCGTCGCGGCCCCATGGGGAGCTCCCTTGAAGGCCCCAATGGCAGGGTCCGCGTGGCGGCCTGGGGCCATTTCGGCGCACCCGTCAAGCGCTTCGCGGCCCCATAGGGAGCTCCACCGAAGGCCCCAGTGGCAGTGTCCACATGGTGTCCTCGGGCCCTTTCTGCACACCCTTTGCGGCCCCAGCTTGGTCTTGCTTCTTCTACGGAGCATGGCTCGGAGGAGAGTGGCGGCTCCCCCAGCGATCCCCCTGGCACCGTCGATCATGATGCCCAGGACGGAACAGGGCGTACCCCCCGCAGCAACGCCGATTCCCCAATGATGGAGACGCCGCCCCCTGCGAGGAACGGCACTAGTGCTGAGGCACCCGGCCTGAGCCTCCCAGGTTGAGCAACTTCTTGGCGCCCCCGAGGAGCTGCACCAGCGCTGGGGCACCCAGCCCAGGCCCCCCAGGTGGAGCAGCCCCCCAGGGGGATCAGCCCCTCGAACCAGTCTGAGAGCGCAGCGGCGCCCCAAACAGCAGCAGCTGGAGAGTCTTGCGGGCCGGCTGACCCCCAGACCGAACTCGCGGAGCAGACCCAGACTGCGCCTGCAGACGCTGTCTCGGGCCTAGACGATGGTGTCAGCGCCCCGTGCTGGTCCATGGACGGTCAGGAGCAGTCGACCTCTGCCCAGCCGCCGACGCAAAAAGTGTGTGTGTGTGTGTTTATGTGTGTTTACGTGTGTGTGTGTGTGTGTGTGTGTGTGTGTGTGTGTTTGTGTGTGTGTGTGTGTGTGTGTGTGTTTGTATGCACATGTATGTACGTTTGTGTCTACATATGTATATAGAGATGTATGACATTCCCTGGGCGTCTAGATCCCCTCCCCAGGTTTTTTTTCCCGGAAAGGGCATAGGCCCAGGGTTCTTTTTTAGCTTGCTTCCCCCCGGGTTTGCCTTGAGATGGGCCGGCGAATTTCTCTTGCGATAGAGATCGAGGTCGAGGTGGGCCGGCGAATTAAAATTTGAGGATGCCTCGAGCGAAACGCTTGTTTTTCAGAATTTGTTGAGGATGTCTCGAGCGAAACGCTTGTTTCGTGTTATAGATTGTCCTCTCCTGGGGACCTGAATTCAAAGAATCTCTCAAGTGAAATGCTTGTTTTCACGTGCCCAGGTCTTGAGGATGTCTCGAGCGAGACGCTTGGTTTCACGCCTCTAGGTTTCCCAGACATGTCTAGGCGGAAGTCTAGCATGAGGATGTGTCGAGGAAGTCTCGATCGAGACGCTTGTTTGCACGTGTCCAGGTTGCCCAGGCGGATGTCTAGCATGAGGATGTGCTGAGAACGTCTTGAGCGAAACGCTTGTTTTCACGTGTCCAGGTCGCCCAGGCACAGCACAGCCCTCGGCACGGTACATCAATATCGATACCTTTAGCATTGCAGCCTGGCATGTTGCCTGGCACGTTCCGCGGAGCGTCCCGTGGCGAGTCCCCCTGGCACGTCGCGCGGTGCACGTCCATTGGCACGTTCCGTAGCGCGTCCCTTTGGCACGTCCCGCGGCGCGTGCCCATGGCACGTCCCCTGGCACGTCGCCTGGCGCGTCCCTTGGGACGTTCCCCGGCGCGTCCTCCTGGCATGTCCCCTCTGTCGATTGGTTCTGGGGCAGCTACCATCTGCTCAGGCAGCTCGAGCTTAAGATCCAGATTAGTTCGGTCAGGACTCGGATGCCAGGGAGGACTCGATACACAACGCTATATGGAGCACAGTCGCGGCATGGAACAACGCAGTTCAGCACGGCGTAGCACAGCACAGCCCTCGGCACAGTACATCAAGGTCGATACATTCAGCATTGCATTTGCCCGTCGCCCAACCAAGTGTCTTTGAAACGCTGCCATGCCTTACATTTCTATATTCCTTTCCGGGTTCGTGGGTCGATCATGTTTGTGCCTGGTCGTGTGTTTGACGGCCCGAAGCCAGCTTCCAGGAGGAAAGCTGGCCGTCTTGATTTTGTCCAGCGGCTGCCTTTTGGGTCTCGGGGACCGACGTGTGGACGGGAACGACGGGGATGAATACGGACACCAGTTCCTGTCTGTTTTGAATCGGCCTCCGCCACGGGTGTCGCCGTGGACGTTGCCCGTTGAGGCAGGAGGGGTCACGGTTGCCTGCCTGCCTGCCAGACGGCGGCCCCTACTGGTTTAGGACACCCTTGCTATTGGGCATCGTCCGGTTCGTTCCCTGCCCCCCTCCACACGTGGAGTGCTGCTCATGGGAGTGTTTTCGCTTCTGGGCAGGGCGCAGTCACCACGGTCACCTCGCAGAGTCTGCGCCGCCTGCGGCGGCAGCAGCGAAAGCGTGGACCTCTGTGGCATGGACGTGTGGCGGCCCGGAGGCATCGAGGCGGCTAGTCTCTTCTCGCCGTGCTGGGCGCCTTGGAGGCCAGCTTTCGGCCCCAGGGCTAGGTCGAAGAGCAACTCCGGAGCAGGAGCTGGTGCGCCACGCGGCATCCAGAGTGCTACTGCAGAGCCCCTCGGCCAGGGCGGTAAGCTTCTGGGTTTCACCATCATGGAACCACACACTGTTTGGCCACACGACAGGCGTCTGGATGCTTGCCACGAGGAGTGAAGGGATGAGCGGGAGGAGGATGAGAAGGAGGAGGAGGAGGAGGAGGAGGAGGAGGAGGAGGAGGAGGAGGAGGAAGCGGAGGAGGAGGAGGAAGAGGAGGAGGAGGAGGAGGAGGAGGAGGAGGAGGAGGAGGAGGAGGACCAGTGTACACCCAAGAGTCATCAACGATGTTGGAACAAGTGGCACGCGTGCCCTGGCTCTTGCACAAATGATCCGCGAAGGACTGGAGGCCTGGCCCAGGGGGGCTGCCCTGGGAAGCCTGGACGGAGGGGGGGTGCCAAGGCTCAGGGGAGGGGCCGAGGGGGACGAACCCCGACGAACCACGAACCACGACGAAAATAAGGATGTCCGCGGCCCAGGGGGGCTGTCCTGGGAAGCCTGGACGGAGCAAGCCTCCGAAGGGTGGGTGGCCCAGGGGAGCTGGGGCTCAGGCTCAGGAGAGGGGCCGAGGGGGACGAACCACCACGAACCACGAACCACGACGAAAATGAAGATGTCCGGCCCAGGGGGGCTGCCCTTGGACGCCGCGAATTACACGTACTGTGGCGTCTTGACCATCTTGAATCGTGCCAGAACACAAGTCCTAAGACTTCGACACCGCGAACTGACATAACGGTTGCGCCCTGACAGGTCGATATCGTGCCGACACCAATTTTTGGGACTGCAGCCATGCGAATTTGTGAAGCTGGTGTAAACTCTTAAACGAATGTGCACGGCGCTAAGGTGATAACCGCATCTTGAATAGGGAACGTCTCCCGTCTGTGGAACTCTTGCAATTGTTTGAAACGGGTGTACGCGGCGCTAGGGCGAGCACCACATTTTGAAAGCGGCCCGTCCTCCATCCGTGAACCTCTCTGCGCATTTCCAGCTTCAGGATCCTAAATGGTGAGGACGTCTCTGGCGAAACGCCCCGCCCGCCCTATTGACACGCCTCGGGGTGCGACAGGGAGGAGTTATTTATAAGGAGAGGGAAGGAGGAGGAGGAGGAGGAGGAGGAGGAGGAGCAGGACCAGCGTAAGCCCAAGAGTCACCAACGATGTTGGAATCAACCTTGCCTCCAAGTTCCCTCCTTCATAGGCCCCTACAGCGGTTCAGTTTCACTGAAGGAACTGCCTCGTTGGAAAACAACCGTTTGAAGACTCTGAAGCATGCCGGACCAGTTGTCGGGATTTCAACGCCACGGATTTGACGATCTTGAACAGTGCCAGAATATTATTTCTGAGACTTCAACGCCGCGAACCAGCGTAACTGTTGCATTGTCATAATCCTGAATCCTTCCAGCACGATTTCTGATTTGTTGATCACGGGAATCCGTGAAGCTTCACCATCTGAAAAACGAATGTGCGCGGCGCTAAGGCGAGAGTCACATTTTGAAAAGGGACCGCCTTCAATCCGTGAAACTTTTCTATGCCAATTTTTAATGCGAATGTGCGCGGCGCTAAGGCGAGAGCCACATTTTGAAAACCACCCGCCGTCAATCCGTGAAACTCTTGCGATGTTTTAAGACGAGTGTGCACAGCGCTAAGGCGAGAGCCACATTTTGAAAACCACCCGCCCTCAATCCGTGAAACTATTGCAACTGTTGGAAACGTTTTGCGCGGCGCTGTGAACGGAACCGCATTTTGAAAACCATCTGCCCTCATCCGTGCAAGTCTGGCAAATTTGTAAAATGGATGTGCGCGGCGCTCAGGCGAGAGCCACAGTTTGAAAACCACCCGTCCTCCATCTGCGAAGCTGTTGTCAATTTTGAAGCTTCAGGGTCCTGAGTGGTGAGGATGTTTCAGGCGAAACGCCCGGCCCGCCTGGAAAATTGTCCTCGGGGTGCGACAGGGAGAAGTTAGGTGTAAGGAAAATGAATGGAGGAGGAGGAGGAGGAGGAGGAGGAGGAGGAGGAGGAGGAGGAGGAGGAGGAGGAGGAGGAGGAGGAGGAGCAGTGTAAACCTAAGAATCACCAGCGATGTTGGCAAATGCTCCCCCCCCTCCCTCCAAGCTTCCTCTTCACAGGCCCCTACACTTGTTCAGTTCCACAAAGGGACCTGCCTCGTTGGAAGACAACCGATTGAAGCCTCTGAAACATGCCAAAACATTGTTCTCGGTTCTCCAACGCCACGGGTAAACGTAATTGTTGCGTCTTGACGAGCTTGAATCGTGCCATAACGCCATTCCTGGGACTTCAACGCCGCGAATCAGCGTAACTGTTGCGCCCTCATAATCGAGAACAGTTCCCAAACACCATGTCTGGTACGTCGGTCATGGGAATCCGTGGAACTCTTGCAACTTTTGAGAATGGATGTGTGCGGCGCTGAGGCGGGAGCCACATTTTGAAAAGGAGCCGCTTTCAATCCGTGAAACTTTGTTGGTATGTAAATTTTTGAAACGAGTGTGCGTGGCGCTAAGGCAAAAGCCACATTTTGAAAACGACACGCCATCAACACTTACAAATTTTGAAACGGATGTGTGTGGCGCTAAGGCGAGAGCCACATTTTGAAAACTACCCGCCCTCTATCTGTGAAGCTCTTCCAATTTCTGAGAACGAATGTGCGCGGCGCTTCGGCGAGAGCCACATCTTGAAAACGACCCGCCCTCAATACGCTTTGTTGTTGTTGTTGTTGTTGTGGTTGTTGTTGTTGCTGCTGCTGCTGTTGTTGTTGTTGTTGTTGTTGTTGTTGTTGTTGTTGTTGTTGTTGTTGTTGTTGTTGTTGTTGTTGTTGTTGTTTTTTGGTTCTTGTTGCAATTTTTGAGCACGAGTGTGCGCGGCGCTAAGGCGAGAGCCACATTTTAAACCACCTGTCCTCCATCCGTTAGGTTGTTGTCAATTTTGAAGCTTCAGGGTCCTGAGTGGTGAGGAAGTTTCAGGCGAAACTCCCGGCCCGCCTGGAAAATTGTCCTCGGGGTGCGACAAGGAGGAGGAGAACGAGGAGGAGGAGGAGGATGAGAAATAAAGGATGATGATGATGATGATGATGATGATGATGATGATGATGATGATGATGATGATGATGATGATGATGATGGTGATGGTGAGGAGGAGGAGGAGGAGGAGGCGGAGGAGGAGGCGGAGGAGGAGGAGGAGGAGGAGGAGGAGGAGGAGTTACTCACAAGGAGAAAGAATGGAGGAGGATACTGACCAGGAGCAGTTGGGGGAGGAATGAAGAAGTGACAGGGAGGAGCCGGCATCGACTCCAGCATGCGGGGCGCGCCTCGCCGGCCGCGCGTTTCCAGCTGGCCTGTCCGCCGCGTCGTGCGGCGAGCGCTCCCGGTCCTCCTAGATGGTTCGCCATGGGGGGAGCGGGTCCTGAAGGACACGGGTCCTGAGGTTTTTCGCCGATTTCTGGCTCTCGGTGCAGTGGGCCAAGGACCGTCATAAAACGACTCAGGATGAAGATCTACTCCTGGGGAAAGGCCCCAGGGTCCAGGACTCGTTTCCCCCGTGCAAAATGGTAGGGACAGCAAACGAAGACGTCGCCAGGGGACACGGACATCCTCGTGGACAACACTGCCTGGGGCGGCTTCTCGTTCTTGGCGCGCCCGCATTTTTCACTCTCTCTGTCTCTGTCTCCGTTTGTGTCTCTTTCTCCCTCTCTCTGTCTCGCTCTCTCTCTTTCTGTTATCTTGGAGCGTCACGGCAGGCGTCTTCGTCCCGCGTCTGGCCCTTGACTGAGGCCCAAGAGCGGCGCGGTGGCGGACAGCGCGGTGAGGTATATTTGGGGGCTCTGCTGCCATCGCGCAGTCTGTCACCGCACACCTTTGGGACCCGCAGGACAACGTCGGACCCTGGCATCCGCCGGTATGTTTTTTCAATCCGTGGCCCTGGAGGCCCCGGCCGCTTGCCCAGTGGTAGTTTTTGTTTTCGTCCTGGATCTATGTTTGATGGTCCCAGGGGCACGAGAAGGCCCCCCGAGGCCCGAAATCGGAGCAAAACCGCCAGTTGACAGCGTGTCGTTCCGCCTGTTCCGGTCCACCACCCCACTGCGATTCTGCGCGACACGCTATCCACTGCCTGGTCCCCCAGCGTCAACGTCCCGAGCCTCACCGAGCCTCCCGCCCCGCGGAGCGAAGCGACACGCCATCCGCTTGCAAGGCATAGCGTGTCGCTGGGACCGCCGCAGCGGCACGCTAAGCACACGTTCCCGTCGGCTTCCTTGGCGACGCCCGCGCTCAGAAGTCTTCAGACATATGCTCGGCGGCGGGCGCTTTCTGGCCGTATCGCCTGGGTAAAGATCTACGATAGTGTATTGGTACAACATGACTTGTTCCCGGGAAGATCGTCGGGAATCCTGGGGCCTGGGAAGTTTACCGCTGGACGTCTGGGTATTTCTCGTTTCAAATCCGGCCAGCTCAGGCTTAGTCTGTTTTTTTTACGGCTTGATTAACCGGCATCCCGGGATGATAAAGGAGAACCCCCCATTTACGATTGAGAGTTTATTCTCCCCGGCCAATGCAGATTTGGTCGGGGGGAGGGGCAGCAAAACCGAATTTTATTATCGCAGAGGAAAATTGCGAATCAAAATTGTTATTCTCTGATGTTGACTAGCAATATCATTAAAAACGTATAGCATGGCAGGGAGGAGGAGAAGGAGGACGAGGAGGAGGAGGAAGAGGAGGAGGAGGAGAAGGAGGAGGAGGAGGATGATGAAGAGGAGGAGGATGATGAGGCGGAGGTGGAGGAGGAGGATGAGGAGGAGGAGGAGGATCAGGGAGGAGGATGAGTAGGGGGAGGAGGAGGAGGCCGAGGAGGAGAAGGAGGATGATGAGAAGGAGGAGGAAGGAGAAGGAGGAGGATGCGGTTGATGCTGGTTGTGATGTTGTTGATGATGATGAGGATGATGCTGATGCCGATGATGATGATGCTGATGATGATGCTAATGATGATGATGATGATGATGAAGAGTGTGATGCTGATGCTGCTGATGATGATGCTGATGATGATGCTGATGGTGATGATGATGCTGCTGCTGCTAATGATGATGATGGTGCACATTATGCTGATGATGGTGATGATGATGAAGCTGATGCTGCTGATGATGATGATGCTGATGATGATGCTGATGATGACGAGGAGGAGTAGGAGTAGGAGGGGGAAGAGGAGGAGCAGGAGGAGAACGATGATGAGGACGATGAGGATGAGGATGATAACGATAATGATGATGAGGATGATGATGGTGATGATGATGATGATGATGATGGTGATGATGATGATGATGATGCTGATGCTGATGATTATGATGATGATGATGATGATGATGATGATGATGATGATGATGATGATGCTGATGATGATGATGATGATGATGATGATGATGATGATGCTGATGCTGGTGATGATGCATGATGATGATGCTGCGATGCTGATGATGATGATGATGATGATGATGATGATGCTGATGATTACGATGACGATGACGATGATGATCATGATGAATGATGATGATGATGATGATGATGATGATGATGATGATGATGATGATGATGATGATGATGATGATGATGATGATGATGATGATGATGATGATGATGATGATGATGATGATGATGATGATGATGATGATGATGATGATGATGATGATGATGATGGTGGTGGTGGTGGTGGTGGTGGTGGTGTGGGTGAGGAGGAGGAGGAGGAGGAGGAGGAGAGGAGGAGGAGGAGGAGGAGGAGGAGGAGGAGGAGGAGGAGGTGGAGGAGGAGGGAGGAGGAGGAGGAGGAGGAGGAGGAGGAAGAGGAGGAGGAGGAGGAGGAGGGAGGAGGAGGAAGAGAGGAGGGAGGAGGAGGAGGAGGAGGAGGAGGGAGAGAGGAGGAGGAGAGGAGGAGGAGGAGGAGAGGAGGAGGAGGAGGAGGAAGGAGGAGGAGGAGGAGGAGGATGAGGAGAAGGAGGAGGAGGGAGGAGGAGGAGGAGAGGAGGAGGAGGAGGAGGCGGCGGAGGAGGAGGCAGAGGAGGCGGAGGCGGAGGAGGAGGATGATGAGGAGAAGGAGGATGATGAGGAGACGGAGGATGAGGCGGAGGATGATGATGAGGAGGAGGAAGGGGAAGAGGAGGAGGAGGAGGAGGAGGACGAGGAGGATGAGGAGGAGGACGAGAATGAGGAGGATGAGGAGGATGAGGAGGAGGAGTATGAAGAGGAGGAGTAGGAAGAGGCGGAGGAGGAGGAGGAGGAGCTGGACGATGACGAGGAGGAGGAGGAGGATGAGTTGGGGGAGCCGGAGGATGAGGATGAGGAGGAGGAGGAATCTGAAGAGGATGAAGAGGATGAGGCGGAGGAGGCGGATGATGATGACGATGAGGAGGAGGGTGGAGGAGGATGAGGGATGATGCTGATGCTGAAGAGGAGGAGAAAGAGGAGGCGGATGATGCTGAGGAGGAGGAGTAGGATGATGAGGAGGAATAATATCACTGTGACGCCGAATATTAATGCTAATGGTAATAACAGTAATAAGAACACTACTACTACGAAGGCGAATCCGAAACACACACACACATAACACGACGACACACACGCATACTAATAATAACGAGACGATTGCGACTAACGCGAATAGTACGATTAAGAAGAACACTCATGCGAACACGACGCGCACTGCACTAAGATGAACACTAAGACTCACACGAATAATCATATGCAGGCGTCGAATACTAATTCTAATACTGATAACGAATACGTAGGCGAATGCTAACAATACTAATTCGAATATTCAGAATAAGGAGGCCAATACTGGGACACGTAATACTATTACTTCGAATACGCAGAATACGACGAGCATGGATACTACGCAAAAGAAGAATCCGACTAATAATAGACCTAAGAATAATCAGACGAATCATAATACGGAGACGACGGAGAAGTGGAGGAGGAGGACGAGGCGGAGGAGGAGGGGGATGAGGGGGATGAGGAGGAATATGGAGGATGAGGATGAGGAGAGGTTCACGCAACAACATATGTATCGCGAGCAGAGGAGGAGGAGGTTGATGAGGATGCTGCTGATGCTGATGCTGATGGTTATGATGATGATACTGATGCTGATGCTGCTGCTGACGATGGTGATCATGATGATGACGACGATGCGATGCTGATGCTGATGATGATGATGAGGCTGCTGATGCTGATGATGATGCAGCTAATGATGAGGACGATTATCATAATGCTGATGCTGCTGATGTTGATGTTGATGATGGTGCTGCTTATGAAGAGGACGCTGGTGCTGATAATGATGATGCTGCTGCTGCTGTTGATGATGATGCTGATGAGGCTGAGGAGGAGGAGGAGGCGGATGAAGGGGGAGGAGGAGGAGGAGGAGGAGGAGGAGGAGGAGGAGGAGGAGGAGGAGGAGGATGAAAGGGACGCGGAGGCGGGGGAAGGAGGAGGATTCTGATGATGATGGGGAGGAGGAGGAGGAGGACGAGGACGAGGGGGACACGGGGAGGAACAAGGAGGAGGAGGAGGAGGAGGAGGAGGAGGAGGAGGAGAAGGAAGAGGAGGACTATGAGGAGCAGCAGCACCAGCAGCATCAGCAGCAGCATCAGCAGCAGCAGCAAGCAAAGGAGAGACGCAGCATAATGCACTGCGGGAAGCGGGACGGATAGATGGAAGGGTGGGGGTGAGCGAGGGAGACAGGGAGTGATACGCTTGGTCTTTGTGCCCCCATCCAGCCCAACAGTGTAAAGGTGGGCTTCCTCGTCGTGTTCAGGACCTCGCAGGCCTACAACAGGCTCCCCTCCTCTTATGCTTCCTTGTCCTGCTGAGCATCTGCCCTCCCTCGTGCTCTTCACATTCCTGGAGCTCCTTTTCCGTCTCCTCTCCTCTTCTCCCCTCTCCTCTCCTCTCCTCTCATCTCCTTTTTCCGTCTCCTCTCTTCTCTTCTCCTCTCCCTTCTTCTCCTCTCCTCTCCTCTCATGTCCCCTCCTCTCCTCTCCTCTCCTCCCCTCCCCTCGCCTCCACTCCCATCTCCCATCCTCTCCTCTCCTCTCCAGTCTCTGCTCGAGGGTCTCTGACCCAGCGCGCAGCTAGGCAGGACAGGACGCGCCCAACACTTCCGTTGATCGCATCGCGAGACTTGACGCACGCCATAGCAGCGTGTGACTTGTTCCTGCCCGAGCCCCTTCAGTATCCGCGCGCGCGGCATGGCTCCGAAATGTCATCGCCGTGCGCCCCCTGTACCACGGCAGCCCAAACCACAGGCAAAGGCCGTCGACAGGCAATCCCACCCGGCAGCAACCTGTCCCGAAAGGAAGCCTGCGTCGCCGCCCTCCAGAGCAGTGGTTGCGTCGACTCATCAATCGCTGCATGCAGCGAGCTTACTCGCAAGCATCACACCGATCCCGATATCAAATATCAGCAACACCGCTCCGACTAACGCAGGCCCAGGAACGAGCTAATAACCCGACTGTGCTGGGAAACGAGATCAGCAACAGCATTCGGCACTACTCACTCATGCACAACAGGGCCTCGTAATGTGACCCAGCAGGAGTCACTGTCGACGCCGATGCCCGCCAGGGCAAAGGCAGGCAGGGCCCCTCTCACCAGCCTCGACGCGCAAAACTGGGACGTCTCCGTTACCACCGTGCCCGTTGGAGAGGGCAACGGGACGTCGTACAGCAGCAGCATCTCGCTTCACACGCTAAAGGAAGTCGACCGCCGACCACAGCATATTCACACAAAAGAAATCTCTGGCGCTTACCGTCCTGGGTCCTGGGAACCATCAAGACCGACTACCAACGAACAGACATCCAAATACCAGTCCTTCGCCGCATGGCCAATGCTACCAAGCCGACGCCAGGGCATACCCAAAGGACCAGCTACCATCTAGAACGGGAAGAAATGAAGTGCCTCCGGAACTTTGTCCAAGTTACCTTCGGTTCAGCGGACAACGTTGCTGGATCCGTGGAGCTATCTGCGAGACAGACGCCATTGCCGTCACGCTCGCTGGAGCAGCACTCATCAATGGCAGCCGCTATCCAGGCGGATCAGGGGCGGCACCGCAAGGCTAATTCTTTACGCTTCGCGTATCCCCACCAGCCCAACTCACAGCAGCAACTCTCGCGAAGCATGCCGACAGTCGTGTTTTTCAGGCGTGTGTCCGCTTGGCCCCGCATATCTCCCCTGTTCCTCCTTCCTCCCGCCTCCTTGTACATCCTCCTTGTGGGGGGAGCGGGAGAAGGACGAGGCGAAGGAGGAGGGAGAGAAAGCGCTCCTCGTGGTTTGAGTCGTTTGGGGTTTCTCGTCCTGGTCTGAGTCGTTCGGGCCCTTCTTCCTGGTGTGAGTCGTTCGGGCTCTTCGTGGTGTGAGTCGTTCGGGCTCTTCGTCCTGGTGTGAGTCGTTCGGGCTTCTCGTGGTGTGAGTTGTTCGGGCCCCTCATCCTGGTGTGAGTCGTTCGGGCCCCTCCTCCTGGTGTGACTCGTTCGGGCTCCTCGTGGTGTGAGTCGTTCGGGGCCCGCGTCGTGGTGTGAGTTCCTTCTGGTGTGAGTCGTTCCCTCGTGGTGTGAGTCGTTCGTGGTGTGAGTCGTTCGGGCCTCGTCCTGGTGTGAGTCGTTCGGGCTCCTCGTGGGGCCTCTTGGGGGCCTCTTGGAGCCTCGTGGGGCCTCTTGGGGGCCTCTTGGGGGCCTCTTGGGGGCCTCTTGGGGGCCTCTTGGGGCCTCGTGGGGCCTCTTGGGGGCCTCTTGGGGGCCTCTTGGGGGCCTCTTGGGGCCTGGGGGCCTCTTGGGGGCCTCTTGGGGGCCTCTTGGGGCCGCTTGGGGGCCTCTGGGGGGCCTCTTGGAGGCCTCTTGGGAGCCTCCTGGGGGCCTCTTGGGGCCATCTTGGGGCCTCTTGCGACCTCCGCAGAAGCGCAAAGGAGAGCTGCCCCCTGAGAAGGACAAACTGAGGCCAAAACCCTTGTAAAATCAATGATTTTGCTATGAGGGAAGAGAAGCGCGGCCCCCTCAGGAGGCCAAAATGGGGCCAAAACCGTAGTAAAATCAATGACTTTGGCTTCAAAGAAGAGGAGAGGGGCCAAACTCGCCCCCCCCGTCGGAGCCAGAATCCTCGTGAGGGTCGTCGTTTTGTGCCCCTCCCAGGAGTCGGAAAAAACTCCTTGAGAACACCCGGGGCTCCCTGTCCAGGCCCAGGGGGAGGGGGTAGGTGGAGGGGTAAACCCCTCCCCGAAGGGGAAGAAGGGGGGTTGAGGACAGAGCGGGCTCTCTAAACCACTCACGCCCAAAGGGCTGGTGGGATTTGCGCCATGAATCAGCCAAACGGGACGTTTCGCGCAAGCAGCTCGACGACGACCTCACCTACGACTTCCGCACGTTCAATGCACACAAGCCATGGAGTTCCCGGGCCTCTATGGCACGGCAGTAGGCAGGCGTGATCTCACGGTTTTATCTGGACCAAACCAGCTGACGTGCCCATGGTCTCGTTGCATTCGGACAATGAGGCATCCAGTTAGACACTGCCGACCGCGGCGCCAAAGGCCCCCGCCTGGTCAGTGCGTCATTGTGTGGCTGCAGGAAGCATGCGACACCTCAACCAAGCAGAAAGCATTCGGGGCCGCGCGTTCGGGCAATCAAGAGTGGGCATTCGCGTCGTGCCCGACACTGGGCAGCGAAACAATTCGCCTTGGAACTGTTGGGAACTGACGCCGCACTCGCTAATGCTAGGTGCCGCATCGGGGTATCGAGCCACGTAGCGCCACCAATGCGAAAATCGGCATGGCCATGGCGACCATTCAATGGCACTGCGACGTCCATCGCGCAGGACGGGGCAAAACTTCCAGCGGCGACTTTACCGCTGTCAGGGCGCCCCCGCGAACGCCGCGCTTCGCGCGCTGGGCCCCGCCGCCCCCGGGGCCGCTCCTTATCGAGGTCGACGTGCGCGTCCTTGCCAAAGCTGAGCCCCCCGAATCATCGACGGCTGCGACCGTTTGGCCAGAGGCCGCCGCTGCGGAGAAATCTGCGGTGGGATCGCCCGCGAGAGGGGCAGGGTCGAGCGCCCGCCCCGTCCCTTCGAGACAGGGCGGTCCCTGGGCCGCGCCTCCAGGCGCCTGTGAAACCCATGCCGCGCCCAAGAACGCCACTGTCGCCGCCGAGCGCCCCGCCGCTATGGGGGCGGAGCGCGGCGGCAGCGCGCTGGGCTCCCGCGAGCAAGGCAGCGGTGTCAAAAAGGAAACCGCCTCATGCGTCGACGACGGCCGCCTCGCCGCGAAGGGCGACGACGACTGCGACGCGGGGGGGGGGGTGGCGCCGAACGCATCGAATGCACTGGCGCCCCGCTTCTGCCCGCCAACGAGTGGCGAGCGGCAACGGGCTGCAACGAGATCTCGGATGAGGAATGGATGCCGCGACTTGGAATCAGAGGGGCCGCCGACCAATCAGACGCGAGGCTCAGCGAACTGGGAGCTCACCAGCAGCAGCTTGCCGAAACCGCCTGGCCGCCAGCCAAGGTGCCCTCCTTCAGCCGTGCCATCGACCTGAGCAAGGGGTCCACGCGGTTCAATCTGGGCGAACCAGTATGAACGCAGATTGGCAGGCCTTCGCGAGCAAAACTCGCTCGCCCAAGCCCAGGCGGACCAGGTTCTGCAGAAATTCGCCCGCGCCGGAGTCGCCTCCCAGCGGGCCCGACAGCGAGGCCAGCCCGGCAGGCCCCTCTGGGAACTGGGGCGCAGGAGGCAGCGATGGGTGCGCCCGAGCCAGCAGGCGCCCGGCGCCCTATGCCATTGCCACCGCCGGGGTCGCATTGAAGGGGCCTCGGTGGGCCCCCCCACCCAGTCGAGGTTGCGCGCGCCGAGGAGCGTTGAATCCGTTTCGGTTCCTGCTGGGGCAGGAGTCTGGGGATAGCTATAGCTGGGGCTTCGCTGTGTAATTATTTTTGACAGTTGCTGTCGCTCGTCTAGCTCGCGCCCGCGACATTTGGCCCGTTGGCGCCCGCCCGGCCCGCGGGGCGCCAGCGTCTGCCAGCTTCGGTTTGGCGTCCTTTTGCGCCTCGGCCCCGTGGGCGCCCTCGCGCGCGCCTGGGCCATGGCCGTCGGTGTGCTCCGAGGCTTGCGGCTCCGCCCTGCAGAGTTCCCGTGCAGCGGGCCGGAAAGCCGTCCCAGCGCTCGCTCCAAAGAGCACGGTCGCGCGGGGCCGCCGCCTCCTCCGCCAGGGGCCCCGCGCCGCGCGAGCGCCCCCTTCGGGCTAGGGCGGGGGCCGCCGACGACCCGGTGTCGCGGGCGCCTGAGCCTCTGGGCGACGAGACGTTCGAACGAAACCCGTGCAGCGGCGATTCCTCGGAGGGTAGCGCTTGGCTGAGGGTCAGTGGCGGCCCCGACGACGGCCGGGAATTCCAGGGCAGCGGCCGCCTCGCGCATGTCCCGCCCGCCGGGGTCCGGCATCTCGCGGCCGCCATGCGTTACTTCTCGGCGGGAGAGGACTGCTGAAAAACTTCCCGGCCAGGCCGCAACGGCCGGTCTCGTCGCCCGCTGTGAACCAAGCGCGTGCGGGGTCGCCGGGCCAACGGCTGCGAACAGGTGATGCAGTTCAAACCGTCCTTGAATTCATGTTCGGAGTCATCGGCGAAACAGGGGCCATCGAAGGCCCCGGCGAGCGCCTCGCTCGGGCGCGCGAAGCCGCGGCCTGCAGCGACGGCGAGGGGCTACCGTCGGGCTACCCTTCAGCATGGCCAGCAGGCAATGCAGCAGAGGGGCTGGTCGTGTCCCCGGAAGCAGTCTCAGGCGCCCGCTGTGACAGCGTGCTT